TGAGGAGTGGGGGTTCCTTCACTTCAAATCTGGCTACCTGCCATTCTCTGGAATGCCTGAGAGCTGCTTCCTGAATCTTTACAAATATGCCTGGAAGAAGTCTCTCCCCTCGCCTGGCAAAGAGGCCGTTTGCATTCAGGAGCAAAGAAGGGACTCAAAGCACAGGGAAGGCTGGCACCACACACATGGCGTTTCTGTCCAAGCCTGTCTCTGGAAAACATGGACGAAAGCAGTAAGCTCTCTTGGAGAAAGATGTGCTGAGATTCCGTTGAGTGTAAGGGTGGTAGACTCACATCCACGGGGCACAGTGGAGCTTTTGTTTTCGTGTCAGAATAAAGAACATTCTCACAGGAAGCCAAGTCATCGACAGCTATATTCTGAAGCAGTAAACAGCAATTTTTCACCATTACATGGCTCTCGGAACCCTCTGAGCTCCTCCACCCAGGGAAATATCTACACATACAGTTTTACCAGTCACTGTAGGAACCCCCTGGGTTACCCCTCCTCCTACATGGTGAAGTAACCGTAGTCTGTGTGATGGCCAGGGAGAGAATAGCCTGGGTTCCTGGAGTACATGCTGTAGATTCCACCTCCTCGGTGGAACGAGAGACAGGCATTCCTGTCACCTTGGTTGTGATAGAGACTGAGGGGAGTGTGCCTGCTCAGCAAGGTCTTCACAGCGGTGTTTTAGTCCTGTGCAGTGATTCTCAATGTCTAGCAACTCCACGACACTCTGTTTAACCATTTTCCTGTTCATTGCCCTAATGCGACCTGCTTGTAAAAAACAACAGTTGTGGAAATGCAAACCTGTACACTGAAGAAGACAGAGCGAGGCGTTGCTTAGGAGACATTGGATGGTAATACATTATAAAGCCTGGTCAGGAGCTAGAAGGCGCCTTTATTTCATTCATTCCTCATTTGAGAGGCAAACCTTTTCAGTCTTGGAGACTCTTGTCGGAATAAGGCTGGGCTGCTTCGTTTTGAAGTGGAAATGAAAATACGTTCTGGCTGCACGGATGCAATGCCATGGAACTCAAACCCTTCATTTTGCCTTTTGCTAATAGTCAGATGGTACCACGTGGAAAATTTTGAGGGGCTATTCGGTCAGTGGAGTTATGCCTGTGAGTCTCAGTTTCCCCAGTTGCACAATGGTAATGACCCAGTTTCTGCAGCACTCTTTTTGAGCATGGAGAATCCAAAAAAACAAGTCTTGTGCTTAGATTTGTGTAGGTATGGGGGGTACATAGACATCTACGGGCATGCTTGTGCTTGTGAAAGTCAGAAGTCAAGGTCGCTTCTACCTTACCTATGATAGTGTCTTTTATTGAGCCTGGATGTCACTGATGGGCTAGGGTGACTGACCATTTAGCTCCAGGGTTCCCCTTGTCTCCACCTTCCCATGCTGAAATTATAGACACCCGCTGCTCTGCCTGCCTTTTTACCCGGATGCTAGCGATCACACTCATCAAGCATTTATCGACCGAGCCGTCTCCATTCATTAGTTTGACCTCTCTGGTGGATCTGAATTCCGCCTTCCTCTGCCTTCACCATCACTTGCATCCCTTTCATTCCAGGAGCAGCAAACAAAGCTAGGGCTTTGGGACCAATGTCTCTACAGACATAAAACATTTGTGTTGTCTCTTTTTCAACTTCTTGATTTTCCTGGCTCCAAATCTTTATGGTAAGTGCTTACAAGATGTAGTTTCATCCATGACCTGACTGTCTGTCCACTCCCCAGCCAGTATACTGCGTGCTCCAGGTAAACTTGATACTACCTTTTTAGTGTGTGTGTGTGTGTGTGTGTGTGTGTGCGCGCGTGTGTGTGCATGGACGTGTTTGAGCTGTGTGCATGGATGCTCATGCCTGTGTGTGCATGCAGGAGCTAGAGGAGGAAATTAGATGCCCTACTCTTACTATCCTTCACTTCATTCCTTGTTCAGTGAGATCCTAGGAGCCAGACCGACAGCCAGCACACCCCATCAATCCTCCTGTCTCCACTTACACAACGCTGGGGTTCTAAGCATGCAAGGGGTGTACCTGGTACTTTTGTGGTGGGCCTGTCTTTTTATATGGGTCTGAACTCAGGCCCTCGTGCTTGTGCAGAAAGTGCACTTATCCACTGAGCCAGCCGTCCAGACCCGTTTTCTGCCATTTCCTCCGTAGGCTCAAGGTGGCTTTTTGGTTTTAGCTCTTGTTTCTTCTCCTTATGTAATTCAGCTGCTCAAATATCACTTATTCGGAGAGGTGTGTACAGACTGTCACATTGATACAGACCCCTCCCTTCCTACCAAGTTATCACCCTATTGTTTCACCTGTGTGGCACTTACAACGGCTCAAATAATGGACCCCTCTGCTTTGTGTTGCCTTCTCCCTCCAACATGCAGTTTTCATGAGAGGAAAAGGCATCGGTGGGGAGTCAATAAGAACAATGCATGCGCCGGAGTAGGTGTCAACAATGACATGCTGAATGAATGGAAAAGCTGGGCATTCGTTCAGAGCAATAAATGCTTGCAAGAATTAGTCAAAATCCAGGCACACGATTAACTAAATAGATCAAATGATGTATGTCCTTTAGCCAACTCTACTCCCATAGCTTTACAAGGCAGCCTTACTACTCCCATTTCACAGGCACCAAACTGTGCTATAGAGAGATTAATGAGCTTGACCCAGGCATCACAAGGGGTGGGTCTAAAAACAGATATTTGAATCAGTGATCTTTACTATCCAATAGAAAGCATTTGATGAACATGGAACTGTAGCTCAGCACGCAGTTTCAGTCTTATAGGCATGAGGCTGTGGAAACCTCACTTCCAAGCAGTAATTGCTATGGTTGTTTTACAGAGAGGGAAGCTGGGATTGGGAAGCTTCAGCAACATGTCTAAGGTCCCATAGCTGCTTATTGATGAAGGAGGATTAAAGTGTAGACAATGTGAGTCTGAAATTCGTGTTCTTAGGAGCCTTGCCCATCTTACAAAAGTGATGTGGATGACTGTTACAACACAGGCTTTCTGAGGTTTGCGGGGAGGGGATGAGAACTCAGCTCCCCATTCTAAAGAGTCTCTCTTGGAATACTGGGTCCTGTCCTTTGGCTACAGAGTCATTGTAACTGTGGGATGGACCACTTTATATGTGTGAATAGGAAAAGCAGAACTGTGTTTCCATATAACCACCTGATTTGACAATGTCCATTTCTTCAGGAAGACCATAAGAAACGTGGAAACATGACCACTAGAATTTCGATCTTGGTTACTAAAGTGAGCTAGAAAAATGTATTTAATATTTCTGGGTCTATGTGCTGATGTAAACAAAACAAAATCTATAAAGTTTAGCTCTGTTATATTCTTAGAAATTCCATAGCAGTGTGCTTTATTTCACTGACTACACCCTTAGCGTCTCGGTCTTGCCTTCAAAAAGGTCCTCTGTAGGGAAGGCAAGACTTTATCTGACAGTCAGTTCAGTACCCCTGCTTACATGTTACTTATGGGAAAAATCACAAGAGAAGAAGAAAAATCCTGGAATCCGCACACTATTGCTGCGACTTCAGAAAGAGGTAATGTAAAGAACCATGTGTATATGTGGATATCAAGAGTTAATGCAAAGGATCACGTGGAAATGCAGATATCAAGAGTTAATGTGAATGAATACGTGGATATGCGAACATCAAGAGTTAATGCAAAGGACCGTGTAGATATGTGGATGTCAAGAGTTAATGCAAAGGACCGTGTAAATATGTGGATGTCAAGAGTTAATGTGAAGGACCACGTGGGTGTGTGGCTATCAAGCCATTTTTTTTCCTTTGAAAAGTTTCCTGAGTCACTGAGACCGGTTGATTCAGCAAGAAGAAAATGAGTCTGGCCAATTCTATTGAACTCCAGCATGTCCACAGAGCTCTTATTATGTGTGCTTCATTCTGAGCTATGTGATTCTATCTGAACCTGTATTTGACGCTCACAATTATCCCCATGTGTGGGTAGGGTGGGTATTATTAAGCCGTTTTACAGGTGAGGAAATTGAGGTTAATAGAGTTTAAGGAGCTCGCCCAAGGTCAAGAAGCTAATAAACAGCAGAGCCAGCACCCGAACCTGTAGACTCCACGCCGCATGTTGTCTTCTGCAGCCCACACTCCCCTTTCCCTGGCCAGACAGCCTGTCCGTGATGAGACTGCACTTTTAACTACCCCCCCCCCCAGGCTGGCTTCCCAGGGTAGAACATGTGGGTTCTTGGGGGCCCCAAAATATCATGTCCTTTACTCAGCACTGTGTACCTATCTACCATTCCATCAAGTTTCGGTCCCATCTGCTCAAAGTTATGAACACAGTCAACAGTGATTGTGGACCAAGGGCATCATTAGATCATTCCCAGCATTCAACTCGGGCTGTTTCCTCTGGAGCATTCTGGTGGTTTGTCCTTGCACCCAGTGCAACAGGTGCTGGTGGAGCAGGCACCTCAAGTGCCTTCTCTTTCCTTCTCTTCTCTGCCTGTGTAAGCTTCGGGATCAGCAGAGATTTGAGTCCTGACTTATTGAGCTTGGCTCAGTGTTTGCACCATTGACTTTACATTTATGGTTCCTCCCAGGGTTTGATGGGGTTGAAAAATTGATCAAGTGCCTTTGTTTACTCAGGGAAAGGATTTTCAGCAAGAAGTGGTTTAGTGACTTCAGGTAAATAAACCAGCAACCAGGCTTGATTGGAAAAAAAAAATTGCAGAATTCAACACAGCATCAACTAGGTAGTCCCAGACACAGAAGGAACCTGGTGTAGGCAGGCCAGTGCTAGATGCTTGTGTGCCTGGACAGGGAGACTCACCAGATGTCCAGTTGAAATTCAATCAGCCAACTGATGGCAGTGATTGCTTAATTTTATTCTGAATAATATTTGTGGTACTGACCAATTTCAACAAGTTGAATAACTGAGCTTTCGAAGCAGAAGCAGATGTATAAGATTCTTTTACATCGATGTTTAAGAAACAAGTGAACTGACCCTGTCTGTGTTTTATGGTAGACATTTGAGTTGGGCCTGCCCAATGCGGGAGGTCAGAATGCTGCTCCTCTGCCACGTGCTAGCTGTGACCATCCTTCAGATCTTGATCTTCTCAGAAAACTGGGTGTTTGCCAAGAACATTAACTTCTACAACGTGAGGCCCCCTCTTGACCGTAAGTACAGGTTATGGTTCTCATGTCGCTTGTGTGAGCACTGTCTATAATCGTGGCTTAAGCGGAGGAAGTCCAGAGATCTTTGTTGACTTCATCAGAGAAGATTAACAGCTATGAAAAGTTTCTGCAGAAGCGATACACCTGCTCTTTCAAATGGCCATTAACATTACTTAAGAACTCATCGGAAAGTTTGAAATTGGGAAGAGAGTGGGACTTGAGTCTTCATTACTGTTATTCACAATTGATGGTGTACAAAAGTTTTGCCACTAAAAGTAGTCACATAGTAACCAGAGGGGGAGATGCGGAGCATGTTTTTCTTTTCCTTTCTCCTCTGCTCTTTTAAAATGCTTTTCTGGTGCTGGTGAGGCACAGCTGGGGTGGCAGCTGTCTTCATCCTAGCCTTACATAGGTGTATGTCATGACCATTCTTCACTCTGCACTTCCTGTACTATTCATGATGTTATCTCTCTCTCTCTCTCTCTCTCTCTCTCTCTCTCTCTCTCTCTCTGTGTGTGTGTGTGTGTGTGTGTGTATCTCAAATGCCATTATCATCCTTGCCCATTCTCTCAATTGCTCTTTCAGAAGATAAATTGTAATAGAACCATACCATGGATCTTTCAAAGTAGCTTGTGGGGCCATTTTCATTTTTCTGTAATGGAAGACTGCAGTACTTACTAGAAGGGAACAAATGAAGCAAGCACAAATCAGATGGATAGATCCAGCTTTCAGGACACACACATTCCCAAGAGGATGTCTTGTTTGTTTTGTCTCATCTAACAAAGTTGCTAATTTTGTGCTATCTTTGGTGTTTGAAAATGTTGCCTTCTGACCTTCCTTCCTTTTTCTTTAAAGCCACACCATTTCCAAACAGCTTCAAGTGTTTTACCTGTGAGAATGCAGGGGATAATTATAATTGCAATCGCTGGGCGGAAGACAAATGGTGTCCACAGGGTGAGTACACAAGCTTGGAAGACTCTTCTGGATTTTCTGGGTCCTCACTTTCTTTAGGTTTCTCCCTTAGCTGGAAGAGACAGCTTACCATACCGACAGCCCAATGGCTCATTGGCATTCTGTAGGGGTCCTGAGTTTTTTGGGAAAGACTATCCAGACAACAGAGCATCCAGAGAGAACCTGGAAATGGCTGACGCAGCCTCAACATGTAGTTGTTTGCATCATGAGGAAAAATTTCTTAAAAGGTATTTAGCAAGAAGACAGAAACCACAATGTTGACTAAAGCATTCAGATAATTCCAGAAATGTCTGATACTTGATGATACCTTAGAAACGTCATACTTACTGGCTTAAAGCAAAGAAAGGTTTCTGTACTCCTCTCTGGAGATTCACAGATGCTTGGGAAGCTCATTCACGCCCCCATCAAACATCTGACTGTCTTTGGTAGTTTGCTGACACATCCCTCGTGCCCAGTCTGCTGCCTGGCTCCTAATATGCACTCAGTAAACACTTGCTGACAGATGCTACTGGGTAGCTATGGGAAATCTTCTCTGAATATACGTTAAAACAGAGACGTGAGTGGCCAAGACAAGGAAACCAGATGGAGAGCTGCAGGAATATAGTGTGCCTGGAAGGAACATCTCAAATGTAAAGGCTTCCAGACTCAATAGTTGGTGTGGCCTCTCCAGTAACAGATTGGTCAGGGTGGCACAGTGGGAGATGAAGAAACAATCAGAGAGGCACCCACGTTCAAAGATGTGCAGATGTTTCTTTGTCTGATAGAGCTTGGAAGTCGGGACATGTGGTTCTGGTTGTGACCTGCAACATTGCTCTGGCTGCTGTGTGGAGAATGCATAGCTGGAGACCAGAGTCAAAGCGTGTATCAAGTAGGGACGGGACTGTCGTCACTTTTGCTTAGAGGGTGAGAGCTGGAGCTCCCAGAGAAGAAAATGGAGTTGTGAGGGACCTGAGTGTTTTCACACAGAGGTGGAAGTAAAACAGATAGAATACACTCACAGGAGTGTGGAACTGAGAGGATATATTGAGACTGGACTGTTCTGACTTTTAGGTTTTCAGAGGCAATGGCCTAAGAAAGACAAGTAGAGAACAGACTTCCAAAATCAGAAATTGCTGGTTTGGGTTTGTTGCCATGAATCTTTCTATACTACATTATTTATAATAGTAGAATGGCCTAATTTTTTCCAGATATAAAAAACCTGTGGGACCGCCTCCCCACCCCCCCAAAAAAAACCCTACTGGCTACATTACTGAGAAGCATTACTAAGTGAAATGTGTGCACCTGTGACTTCTTTCTTAGTCAGGGTTTGTATTGCTGTGATGAGACGCCATGAGCATGGCAACTCTTGCGAAGGAAAACATTTAATAGGGGTGGCTGACAGTTTCATCCATTATCGTCATGGTGGGACATGACAGTGTGCAGGCAGACATAGTGCTGGAGAAGGAGTGGAGAGTTCTACATCTTGATCCATGGTAGCAGAAAGAGTCTGTCCACACTGAGCATAGCTTGAGCAAAGGAGACCTAAAAGCCCACCCTTCACAGTGGCATACTTACTCCAACAAAGCCACACCTATGCCAGCAAAGCCACACCTCCTAATAGTGCCACTCCTTTTGGGGTCATTTTCTTTCAAACCACCACATTCCACTCTTGGCTCCCAAAGGTTTGTAGCCATAACATAATGTAGAAATACTTTCAATCCATCTTCAAAAGTCCCCATAGTCTCTAACAGTCTTACATTTATTTAAAAGTCTAAAGTTCAAAGTCTCTTCTGAGATTCATGCAGTCTCTTAACTGTATAATCCCTATAAAATCAAAAAGCAGATCACATACTTTTAACATATACATTGGATATACATTATCATTCCAAAACACAGGGAAGGGAACACAGTGGGGAAATACAAGACCAAAGAAAGACCAAAAACCAGCTGGGCAAGCTCCAAACTCTACATCTCCATGTCTGATGTCAAAATGCTCTTCAGATCTCCAACTCCTTTTAGCTTCGTTGACTCTAACACACATCTTTCTCTTGGGCTGGATCCTCTTCCTATTGGTGGCTTTCCTTGGAAGGTATCTCATGTCCCTGGCATCTTGGGGTCTCCAAAGCAACCCAGGCTTCACCTTCCCAGCTTCATGTAATGCCCTCTCTAGGCCTCCCTTCAGGGACACTGTGACACATGCATGGCCTCAGCATCTTTCCTTAGTCATGAAGGAAGCTTCCATAACACCTCTCTTCTATCTTTGATTCTAAAGCTAGCACCATGTGGCCTAAACTGCCAACAAGTTCTGCTGCTCGCTGGGGCTGGAACATGGCCCCCTCATTCAATTACATCTTCACCAGCTTTCTGTTTTCAGTGGTTTCCTTCACTGCCTAAGCTTGGTTGTTCTAAAAATCTATAGACCAGGCTGGCCTTAAACTCAGAGATCTGCCTGCCTCTGCCTCTGCCTCTGGAATGTTGGGATTAAAGATGTATACCATCACACCCAGCTCTAAGATTTTTTTTTTAATTCCTATTCACAAGTTGGAAGCTTAGCTGGGTGGGATCTTGCCCTGAGATCACAACTCCCTTTATTCCATTTCTTACTGTGTTTATTCCCTTGAACACAGGGTTTAGCTCCATTCCACTTCCCGGTACCCCTTTTCTTCTCAAATTGTACGTTTTGTATTCTCTTTGCTCAGATTGCTTCTTTTTATTATTAATTTTCATTAGAGATAACATTAATAGCCACAAAATAGAGTCTAAGCCGGGCGGTGGTGGCGCACGCCTTTAATCCCAGCACTTGGGAGGCAGAGTCAGGTGAATCTCTGTGAGTTCGAGACCAGCATGGTCTACAAGAGCTAGTTCCAGGACAGGCTCCAAAACCACAGAGAAACCCTGTCTCGAAAAACAAACAAAAAAAAAAAAAAAAGGAAAAAATAGAGTCTATAGTAGGCTGTTTTGAGATTTCCTTAGCCAATGCCATTAATCCTAAACTCTTTACTTTAGCCTCAGGCAGACTTTTCAGACAAGGGCAAAAAGCAGCCACATTCTTCACTAAAATATCACAAGAACAATATCTAGGTAACATACTAAAATCTGAAACCTCTTGAACTAGTTCATCAAATCACACTTATCTCCACTGTCTTCCAGTGGCCTATTAAGCGGAACTTAAAGTGTTCATCTGCTTTTCGAATACATAGTCTCAAGGTCCATATTTCTTCAAACAAAAGTATGCTCTTACCTATCACAGCAATACCCTACTCCTGGTACCAGCTTCTGTCTTAGGATTTTTATTGCTGTAAAGAGACACCATGAGCATGACAACTCTTTAAAATTGCCACAGCATCCATCTGGTCAAGGCTTATCATTACCTCTTTTCTGGAAGAATCAATTACTAGAATCTTCTTTTCTTTTTAGTTTCCACATGGCTACTGGGAACTTAACCCAGCTCTCCCCAAGTAGCAACAAGGGCTGAGTCATCTTTCCACTCCTAATAGCATCTCTTTTGAACCGCAGATAGTGAAAAAGGAGACCTTAACTTCCCATCCTCTAACAGTGTCCGCTGTAATAAAAATGGCAGCCTGTTGTCTCTGCCAAGCCCACTCTTTCCAGCATGGAATGACCTCACATCCCAGCACAGCATGAGAGCTCCTTTCTGACCATCTGCTATTCAAGTCTCAAAGATGTTAACCATCTGGAATTATGACGGAGGTGTCATTTATTACTTTTTCCTTTGCTGTTATTTGGGAAGTGATAATCGACCAGTCTTCCATGACAAGCGTCCCGGGCTATTGTTCTCTGTCCTCTCAGATTTTCTTTCTCTCTATGAAACTCCACTGTGGTTTGTCACTGTTGTCAAAAGAGGGTGTCTATGTAACAGAACATGATAGCATGGTATTTCTTGTGTTATTTACACCAGCTTTTTGTTGACTGCTCAGAGGATGCTTTCATGTGTGTGATGTGTGCAGTGCTCCAGATCAACACAAGCAGCCCCAGCTCCCAGCTCTTCTGAGTTTGGAGTTTAAGTACCTTCTCCAGAACATTTAATGGCTCCTTTTCCTTCAGACTCCAAAAGTCAGCTACTTTTGTCTAATTTAATGTTGAGTGTCCCGAAGGGGGTAGCCCAGTGTACTGATAAAGACCACAAACCCTTGAAACCTGCCTTGGTTAATCCTACCTTCCTACCTGTATGGCAGTGGGCAAGATGGTGCATGCCTTTAATGCCGCACTCAGGAGGCAGAAAGATCATCTCCGTGTGAGTTCTAGGTCAGCCTGGTCTACCTAGGGAGCTCCAGGTCAGCCAGGACTATGTAATGAGCTATTGTCTAAAATAACAAAAAGAATGTTAAGGTGGTCTATGGCTTTCCAGAGGCTCACTATAAGAACTGAAAGAATGAACACAAATTAGAAGGTCACTGACTACCAATCTATAATATGAATGCATTTGCCATTGTAAATGCTATTAAAGTTATCAAAATGCCACTGTACATAGTGCATTTTATTAAAAAAATACAATGATCTCAGAGGGTCGAACAGGACTTACTTGTGATAGTTCTAAAATCTCCATCTTCTCAATCTTGGTCCATTTCCCCCCAGTCTACTGACTATTGGGATCCATGGTGAATAAATTAGCAAGCATTTCCGTGGTCTGTGGTAGCGACGGAGGAAACACGGAGCTCAAACAGAATATCCTATGATGTTACACGAACCACTTTCTAAAAAGAATTCGGTCATAGAATGGGTGGTTAATGCCGTAAGGGTAACTATGGAAATGAGCCAACTATATAGAGCAGGCATGAGTGGGGAGCAGGGAGTGAAGGGGAGAGGAAGAGTGGAATACACTGACGAGAGAGTCAGGCATGTTAGAAAGTGTAGAATATGAATAATCAAGATGAGAAAGGGAGGTGACCTGATACGTAGCTGGAGACCCATTCACTTCTTAGCCTGCAAGAATCAAATGATGAGTGAGGTGCCAAGTTCTCAGAATCATTGTTTCGGTGCTCACAGTTCTTGTCTGCATTTAGAGTTCTAGAATGCATGCTTCAGAGCAAGAAAGGGCAGACTAGGGGCATAAATACTCTCATATTTGCTGAGCAGACCCAAGGATTGATGAAACTCTGCACATTTTTTTCTCAGCTTCAGCTAATGCCAAAGAAACAGGCCACTCATTTGTATTCATTTCCAAAGCACATGTGTACTCCAGGAGCGGATGCCTTTACAGAAACACCGCCTAAAAACTCTAGCGTTCACTGCTATTCAATTTCTCACCTAGAAGCCTAAAGATTATCCCGAATTTTAGTCATTTCTGGCATGATGGTTGACGGCTCTCTTTTGCAAAATGGAAAATAAAATGGCCTGTTGTTGTTGTTGTTAAATTTCCCCAGACACACAGTATTGTTTGACTGTTCATCACTTCACTAGCCACGGAAGAAGTACATCCATCACTAAAAAGTGTGCCTCTAAAAATGAATGCCACTTCGTGGGCTGCCGTCACAGTCGAGACTCGGAACACACGGTAAAGACTATGTGTGTGTGTGTGTGGAGTTCCTTCCCCAGGTTTCATGGTGATGGTGGTAAGTTAAGCATCATGAGAGAACCAAGGAGGAGCAGTGTGTTGGATGTGTGTACTCTGACAAAGATGCATGACAGTGCCAATGCAGAGAACAAACATTCGAAGGTAGTCTGTCTTCAAAAAGAAATGGCATTAAGAATGACTGATAGTTTTCAGGCTACAGAGCCAGACTCGGGCTTCAGAACTTGCATGAGTAGTCAGAAGCCTGCTTTAGAAGCTCAAGAACATGCCATCCTTGAGAGTAAGGTGCACTGGAGTCTAGATGACAGCATGTTCTGTTCCTGGCTAAAATCACCACCACTTCCAGGGTCACTAACTGGTAGAAAGGAGAAAATAGGGATGTCTTTTTCCATTGAAACATTGTCTCCCTCTCCATCTCTGCTCAGTGGAGAAAAAGACTAAGAGAATAAGATAAAGTCTAGATGCATATTGGATCAACCGATCCCTTGATATGCTTACTCTAGTATCTCAAACAAGAATGTGTTCTTATATGCAGAGATCCTAAACTTTTGGAGGAAAAATGACTTGAAAGCTCATGTGTCATGAGATTTTAGAATGTGACGTAGCATGAAAGTCAGTGACCCTGACATCCGTGGCTGTGGGCTCTGATCACACAAGGGCTGTATGGGGCAGCAAGGACAAGGCATGCTCGTGAGGCAGGAAGGCAGCATCTTAGACTGACTGAAATAGAACTTTGCGTAGAGGTCCAGGGGATCAAGAAAGTACCCCAGGCTGGGCGCCAGAGCTCACACCTGTAATCTTGCTACTCTGGAGGCTGATGCAGGAGGATTGTGAGTGTGAGGTCTACCTGGGCCACATAGCAAGATTTGCAAAGGAAAATCAAACCTTTCTGCTAAGTGGACATGATGGGCAGTGGGCTGGACAGCCAATGGATGATGGCGGTGTTGGGAGTTGCTGCCTTTCTTCTGCCTCATTGGCCTAGAAACCTAGAAGAATGGCTAGTTCATGAGCTCATGGCTTCGGGCCCAGCATGCATTGCTATTACCATCAGAGATTGCTTCCCTTGAAAACACTCTTAAGAACCTATGGCTTTTATTTTTTCCCATACTGTCACTGCAGTAATAATGAGTCTAGGGTGAAGTGGCAGACAATAGCAAGTCACCATTATTAGTTAACCAGCAACACAAAGAAAACCAATGGCAAGTCCTGAATGTTCCTAACTTCTCTTTGGTTTCACCGATTTCTAGTAAACCTGTCAGGATATGGCAACTCAGACAGCCTAATTCAGCTTCCCTTCTTCACCTCACTCCTGCTTGAATTTGACGCAGAAACATCCAGAGTTAGGATGAAGCCTCTCAGGATGGTCTTAGCTCAGCCCACTGCAGGGGAAGGTACCCACAGGCCGGGCAGTGCACAGGCTGGACTGTCCACTACAGCATCTGTCCTTCTTTCTTTCATTGGTTCCCTCCTTCCTGCTCCTCACTCCCGACCCTTTCCTTCCTCTCCAGGAGTGCAGGTCTTGCTGTGAGGGGATGATCTGCAATGTCGAGTTGCCGACCAACCACACGAATGCGGTCTTTGCTGTCATGCATGCACAGAGGACATCTGGCGGCAGTGTCCCCATGCCTTACCTCATGGTGCTAGCTTGCCTCTTCATGCTTCCCTTGCTATGATGTAACTGTTCCTAAGAGGGACAGAAACCAGCGTTGTAAAGCACAAAGCAGACTGTGGACCGGTGAACTTGGGAGCGAAGGCCCACCTTTCACTTGATAAAGAGGAGAAATTGGACCCCAAAGTAGAAGGCAGAGGTTTGCTTCACTGAAATGCTCCTGCATGAGGTCACAGCACTGAACATGAGGACTTGGTAGGAGCCAAGAGGACTGCCTAACTTCCAGTGTCTAGGGCCACTGCACTCCGTCACTTCTGTCAGAAGATCCACCAGTATTGTTGATGGTTACAGTAGCTTAATAAACCCTGACCTGACCAGACCTTCATCTAGAAGGACTTTTTAACCTCATGGACTCTCTCAGAGGCTGCTGGATCAGACTCTCTGGCTTCCGTGATTAGCTCAGAGCATCTCCGTGAAATTTCATCCTTCTACCCATGGGAAAGCCATTTCTCTACTGTGTTAACTTCCCATTATTGTAACAAGTACCTGAGATGATCTACTTATAAAAATAGATGGTTTGTTTGGGCTCGCGATTTTGGAAATTGCAGTACGTACTGGTTTGAGGCTTGTGTTAGAGAGTGAAGAACCGCTCACTCATAGCAGAGACTTGAGAAGGAGAGAGTATGGGTTGGAGAAATGGGCACTAACTGATCCCCTAGAGGACCCTGGTTTGATTCCCAGCACTCACCTGGCAGCGCATAACTGATAACTGCAGTCCCAGGGGATCCAGTGCCCTCTTCTGGCCTCTGAGTGCTGCATACATGCGGTACACAGATATATTATGTATGGATACACACTCAATACACAAAAATAAAATTTTCTTTTTAAAAGGGTGAAGGAAGGAAAGAGAGAGAACTGGGATGGGAGAGAAAGCCTGCACTTAGGTCTCTACAGTACCCTTCAAAGTCATGTTCCCAGTGTCCTAAAACTTCCCACTAGTCCCAACTCCCTACGGGCTCAACCACCTCCTTAATGGTACCAACAGGCTGAGGACCAAAACTTTAACCTTGTCATAGTCAAGAGTTAAACAATGGTGCCCACTAACCACCTGGTCAATGAAAAGGGCAGTGGTGGGGAGGGGGGAATTTCCAGTTGAAATTCTATGAATCTGTTGGCCAGTTATGAGGTGGTTGAGATGGGGTATAAAACTTTGAATTATCTAGTGTAATGCATGCCATGTGTCTCTTGACAGTGTGGGGGCCTCTGATGAAGGGCACTTACCAATGTCACTTAAGTTGTGTTTCCAGGCACCCTGGGTGACATATGCTGTCTGAAAGAATAAAATTTTATGCCAAAGTAACTTTGTGTTTGCTTATTTGTTTTTTCTTGGGGGTGAGGGGTGAGGAGAGAGACACTTGGGGAGGCTAAAGACAAAGAGTGCATTGAGACGGTCAGGGATCTTCCCTCACCAAGAGAGATGGATGTCATCGTGTCCACCCTCAGTGTCTGCCTACCGAGACTCACAAGAAACCACAAGAGTTCTTGTCCCAGCCCAGTCACCTGCTCTTCTCTAAATGTCAAGTCCAACAGAAAAGCTCGGGTACAAAATGAAGTGTTTGGTCTCATTGTCCCCTCTGTCCCTTTTATAGCACAGTTTCAGAATGTCAAGTGAACATCTCTTCGCTAGTTTAGGATCCTGATTTCTTTCCCCCCACTTCTGTTTTTACATGTGTTAAACAGGAACCTCTTCCCTCTAACTAAACGTGGACCATTAGAATGGGCTGCTTCTTTAAAAGTTAGTAGTGGTGTTGGCCTTGCTTGGTCTCACCTGTGACATAGGATTGCAGGTCCAATCCGTTCCACCACCTAGCTTCTGCTAATAAAATTTTCTTAAAACACAGTTACCCCCATCTGTTTCTGCATGCCGGGCTCTGTTGTCAGTTCAGGATGGCTTGGTGCAGAAGAGAGAGCACGGTCTTCGGCAAGACTCCCACACAGGAGAGGCTTTTTGACCCCTAACCTATAGGAAGCTAAGACTGATTCAAGAGAAAGCACTCAGTCTGGGAAGTGATTTGCTGGAGATGTCTTTGGCTTCTGCATCACTGGGTTTGTCTTCTCTATTTTGATTTATTGTTCCATTGAGTCTGTTCTGATGCTGGTTATGGGCTCCTTTTAGACATGGGCTGTGCTGGTCTGTTCTCCCTGATGCTTTGGGAATGTTTCATCTTATATAAGACTTTTCAGTATCCCATTAAAGAAGGAGTGGGCAGGTACATTATCTCGCCAGCTATCCCAACCTCGGACTCCCCAGTAAGCATCGGTTTTGAAGTCTGATATGGATTCGCCCTCTTTCCACTCAGCACCTTGAGTTCTTTGAGCCTTCCTCGCTTCTACTTCTTTGTATTAATTATATGTGGCTTCATCTGGGACCTTTAAAAGCATCTTTAGTGTCTTTTTTTTTTCCAGAGTTCCCCCTTCCCCAGCATTTCTTTTGACTATACAATTGACATATTGTCTAGTCAAATTATAATCACTAGTAGACTGTAATCATTTTCTGATTTTGTTTTTGGTGTTTAGATTAATAAAAAATCTCATGTGTGTGTGCACACACACATACACACACATGTGCGCACATACTCACATTTGACAGCACATATGTGTCAGAGGGCCTTTTTCAGGAGTTGGTTGTTTCTATCCACCTGTTTTCCAGAGATTGAACTCACACCATTAGGTTTAACCAATGGGCCACCTCACCAGCCCAGCCTTCTATGCCTATGAAGCTGACTCTGTGGTCTCTTCCAATGTACTTTGAAAACTAGAATTCAAAAAGTAAATCAAGTCATTGGAGTCTATCACATGGAATTTTTTTCCATTTCAAAAAATGTGGAATGGAAGGTATCCAAGACTTCAGATTAATTTATTTCTAGTGATTAAGAAAATAGGTAATATTTTGATTTCAAAATGTTCCATGGCAACTGGAGAATGAGCCAGAGGGGCTCTGTAGATTTGCTGTTACCAAGGAATCCTGGGTGAGCTATAAATGAGGGTTGTTTAAAGAAGGAAGCTGTCAAATTCCATGTTAAAGAGCCCTGCGTTCTAGCATAAACTTTAACTCCAATCCATCAGCGAGTTTTTTAAAGAAAACAAAGGGAGCTGGTGTTTGGCAATCATCCTCCCTCCCAGCGCTGTCTAAAAAACTCTTTAAATTCAAATCTGAGTGAGACTAGCCATCAGAAATTCCAGCCAGTGTGTTCCATGAAGTCTGTGTTCCATCATCCAGTTCAGAAGAAACGGGAGGGCAGGGAGCAGAAAGCATGGACGTGGCCTCGGGAGGCAGATGGTGTCATGGAACTGGAAAGATGCGGTTCACATGTGTGAAAAGAGTTTATGCTTAAACCAAATTGTTACTTGTAGATTATCAGCAACCGGAAACATCTTATGACCTTTGGATCATGAGCATTTTCTGCCTCATGCTTTGCTGTTTACTGTTCTGTCTATTGGGGTACAAGTCATGCCAGAAGAGGAGGGACACCAGGTGGGTAGGCATGGTTAAAGAAGCTAAGGAACAAATGGTTGCTGTATTTGGCAGGTGTCTCAGTTTGGTCCTATGACTTCGTCTGAAACAGTTCAGCATCTTCACCGCCTTTCCCATACACTCTGCTTCGCTATAACTCTCCTCGGCCCTCTTCTTCACTGTCTTGCCTGTGTTCCAGGAGATGTTAAGGCTGGAAGCTGAGCTGACTCAAGAAGGACATAAAGTATGAGTTAAGCATGGTTTGAGCAGAGAGGAAGAGGACCTCTGCATAGGCTGTGGAGTTCCAGCACACACACACACACACACACACACACACACACACACACACACACACCATCATAGACCACTTAAACCTCCACAAAAGACCTTTGTAGTTCATGGAAATCAGTTCCGGCTATGAGGCTTGGAAGAACCTGGCAGACACTGGCAAGGCAGGACTGCCGTGTTGAGAATGGTCCGGAGTAGCCTGGGAGAAGGGATAGCACTGAAGAGGCGGTGTGGGGCAGCTAGATGATGCTAACTCTAGCCATCAGCTGTGGGCCCTGGTAGGCATGGGGTGGGGAGAAGCAGTATGAAGCAGATGGGATGGGAAAACCGTGTACAGAGGCAGAATGCCGATCAAGAAGCTAGGCAAAATGTGGCAAGCACTTCCTGGGCACAGGGTCCAATCAGGTTTCAGAGGGTTCCCAGACAGGGGTGGAGGTCTTTGTATTGAAATGGCTGTATCCATTGGATGACTTCAATGACAAGTTTAAAAAAAAAAAAAAAAACATCCTCAATCAAATTGGCACAAATCAGTTTCTTGCTTCAGCTACCAGGAAGTCCAGAAGAGATGGATTTGATCCAGTGGGTCCAGCTCCTTTTTTCTTCCATGTCCTTCATGTCTTTTGGTAAGTAGAGGCCGCAGATATGACATACTGGCCATTCAGTATCTAACAAACTTCTGGAAGCACATTGAGAAGGGGGAAAATCTGCACTCAGGTCCCAGTAAAACACAAACAGGCAGGAAGTAATCACCATAGGGTTATCGCAGCTGAGGGGCAGTCGGTGGAAGGAAGACCCTTGAGCCAATCAGGAAACCAGGAAGGAAGCAAGAAGAAATAGATCTGAGTGAGAAGCCAGAAACATTTGCTGTGGGTCCTCACGGTGAAAGGCTGTCTGGAGAGGTTGTTGTCAAGATGGCAGAGACGATGCTAGGAAGCTAGAGAGGGAGTGCAGAGCCTCTGGAAGCCGCACGGATTTGCCTAAGCACATGGCAGAATGCAGAGCAGACAGAGGCGCTCACTACAGACTGCAATTCCCTTGGAGCGCTCCTTGCTCAATGCGCTTTGTCAGTCTGCAAGGGGGTGGAGTATCTACTGCACTTTCCTCCCCACCTGTCATCTGGAGTACAGGGTCACAGTTTGTGTAGGCCACACCGCCTCACATCTCCTGTAAAAGCATGGGGGTGCGTAAGATGCTCCTCAACTGTACAGCAGGTCCTGCATCCCTTACTGAATGCACGCTGAGTGAATGAGTCAGAAACTTACTCCAAGATAGTGGGCTTCATCCATCAGACTGTGGTGAAGGGTGACAGAAAGTGTGGGAGCTGCCCTTTAAAAGCAAAAGCTTCCTCTTAGCTCTTTTTCCTCCCGTTTCTGTTAACCAGTTGGTGTTCATTTTCAAGCAGTGAGCAGGACCCCCAAGGACTCCCTTAGTCCACGGCAGGAATGTCTCCGAGATCGCTTTCTTCCTTTCTCTCTTATATGTCCTTTGACATCTCAGATGCTCCCGTTTGTCCCTTCCACATATTTCTAAGTCTGGTATGAAGTCAGTACTTAGTCGAGCGGGTCCTGCACGTAATGTATGCTTCCTTCATTTAATTAATGCATTCAGACCGGGGTTTCTTAATGGACCGCGGATGCATCTTTGTCAGTTGTCTGGACATGCCCTCAAGGATGTCCTTTTCTCTCTTAGCCAGAAGAAGACAATGAAGCTATACCTAAGTTGAGGGGCACACTATAAGATCAATGTTCTCCCCAGTTTAGGTGAAACCACGTTCGTTCCGTGGGTCTTTTCTCGCCATGAGTCATAGGTCCAAATGTCCATTACTGCTTTGAAAGATGTTTTCTCGGCTGCTTCAGAGCTTGTCCTTTTATGCTGACCTGAGTTTTAAATTTTCAGGCATTTGAAGAAAGGCAAGAAAGATTTTGGTCCCTATTTGCAGCAATGTTTCACCTTCCCCCCCGGGGGCAGCCTGTAGTGGTTTGGCTGACGTAAGAGATTGGTGGTATCATTCTATATGTGTCTGTGGATCCTTTTTAATGCAGAGCTTCCAAGTGAAAAGCAAGTTTAAGCAGAAACACAATTCAACCTCAGATAAGATCATGCAGTAAAGGAGCATGTTTTAAAATTCAGGGTTCACGGCTGGGAGGTAGGAGAAGAGCCTACCAGACTTCCTGGCCTGCTTATGGAGGAGGGAAAGCACAATTCTACTATCTGCTTTCTGAGTGAGGCAAGGGACAAGGCCAAGCTTTTCCTGTCATTATCTACTGCCCTGGAAATGCAATTGCCTATGGTAGCTTGATGTCTCTCGTCAGCCACGGATAAGCGTTCGTGCTAACGATGCCAGGACGGACAGCGTGGGAGCATGCGGGATGCAGTTCCCAGGGCGCACATGCAGAATCCTAATAAGCATTTACTTCTCCAGCTCAGAGAAGCCTGCAGTGCCTTGAGGGGGCCGTGGCATGAGAGACTGGCGTAGCTGAGTAGGGAAACAGCACAGGCCAAGGGCATCTTGATGCCTGCCCTTGACATCTCTAAACATAAG